AAAAAGAAACATTTATTAGGTATATTATTTAGTTACAATAATATTTCATCTATAATGTGTATGTAATGTACAAAATTGCAATGCAATGCGACACACGGTTTCAAGTGCAACATCTACATCGCTGTTATTTTACAACGAACTTTTTCTAATCTAGAAAATTAACGGCAAAAATAATAATAGTATACAAAACAACAGAAATAATTAATAAATCTTCTAAGACAATATTATTTGTTTTTCGTCTAAAATAATATGGTATACAAATGAAACGTAACGGTTGAATAAAAAAGTATACTTAACATAAAAACAATAATATTTTAATGAGCTTGGACATGATCGAACTTTGTACAGAAACGAAAATAAATACGCGGCGGACATCTATTGAATTCGAAAACCGCCAAACATTGATGGAAGATATTGAACTTTGGTTTAAAAACAAACAATAAATTTAATCATTTTAAAARGTTGATTTATAGATTTTAAACGCCATTTATGCCAGATGTGAGATGCGAGTTACGGGTAGAAAATTGTACGACGGATACATTATCATACGTGATGATTTCAAGCGATTCCTGTGATGATTATGATTATTTTGATCGGACGCTAAATTTAAAAAAAAAAWAAAAGATGGAAATCATTCGACTGTCGATGAAAGGCCAAATAGCCACAATCGGGATAAAAAAACAAAAAACAAATCAACATTTGATGTACACCAAACAAAGTATAAACGTGCATGCAGTGTAAAATATCGATCAATATTCGATAACGAATCGGAGAAATCCGTATCGGCCGTATAAACTATCCCGAAGATTATAATTTATACGAAAACCGAAGCCGATGATGAGTAGGCAGGCATACTATAAACGCGTAGGTCATTACAACAGCGACGAGTGGTTAAAAGTAAAGCGAATCTCAGCTGAGCTGATAGTATTCGGGTACGAATTCGTTGGCCAAGTTACTGAGAAAGTTGAAATCGGACGAACTGTTGCTGTTGTCGTGCACGCCGCCGCCGTGGTGATGATGGTGGTGTGGCGGCGGTTGCGGGTGATGCGCCATTGCGGCGGCGGTGGCTGCCGCTGCAGCCGCGGCTGCAGAGCTGCCGGTGACGGGAGCGACGACGGCCGCGGTGACTGCGTTCGGCTGGTGATGGTGCTGCTGGTGCAGCGACGGTTGCTGATGCTGACAGTGCGGTTCGCCGACCACCGGGCCGGCCGACGTGACTGCTCCTGTGCCGTTGTAGAAGTGATGAAAACTGTTGAAGTGATCGCCGGACGAATCGGCTGCTGCCGCCGCCCGGACGCTGTTCGGTGGTGTCATGGCCACAGACGAGCCGTGCGCGTGGAACTGGTCAGCGAACGCGGCCTCCAGTTCCGGTACTGCAGCTACGGCTGTACCGGTGCCACCACCACCACCTGCCACAGGGTCCACGTAATAYTGACCAGCTGACACCTGCACGGCAGCCGCCGCGGCTGATTTGTTGTACCTGAGTTGCTGTTGCTGTTGCTGCTGATGATGTTGCGATTGGTGGTGTTGCTGTTGTTGGAGTTGCTGCTGCTGCTGTTGATGGTGTGGTTGGTGGTGGTAGTCCATGTTGTACAGCTGCGAACCTGAGTGGTTGTCTTGTTGCTGTTGGTGATGTTGTTGCTGATGATGAACTCCGCCGCCACCCATATGATGGCCGTTGGTYGCGTATCCTTGGCTGGTAGCTTGGTACGTTCCGGCGTAACTCAAATGGTGATGATGGTAATCGTCACCGCCACTACCTCCACCACCACTACCAGTGGTGCTGCCGCCGTAACCACTGACGCCAGTCTGTTGCTGTTGGTATGCCTGACGGTGGTGGTAACCGACAGCCGAGGGAACGGTTGCAGCCTGCTGGTACGAGTCACTTCCGCCGCCCGTCTGATAACCGTTGTTATTGTAACCGTTACAGTATTGTTGTTGTGGACCGTAACCCGCACCTTGCAAGTACTGTTGACGACAGTGRCCCAGACCGGTCTGTTGCTGCACCCTGCCGGGGCTCTGGACGGCCACAGTCGCTCCGGACTTGGACTTGTAAGACGAAGACGAAGACGGGKGTGAAGATGTTTCCGGTGACATGTACCAGCGGCTTTGAGTAGTCGGCGGATATTGTGACAGATAGCAGTCCTTGCCGGTACCGCCGAAATTGTTTTGCTTGTTGTATTGCTGTTGCTGCTGCTGTTGTCTATAAGCATCAGCGACCCTCGAGTACGGCGACTTGGCCACCGGTCCCCCATTCGACGGGGTTGGTGGTGTAGAAACTGAGTGATCTAATTGTTGTTGTTGTTGTTGTTGCTGCTGCTGCTGCTGTTGATACATGGCGGTCGCGGTTCCCAAAGGACTGGACAGAGCGGTAGACGGCGTGTCTGGCGTGGATGGCGTCAAACTTCCTACGGACGTGCCGCCTCCCTTCAATGACTTACCGACTTCTGGAGATATATCCGGCATTAGCCTCATCGCGTCTTTCGGGCACATCGCAGCCACCGATTTTTTATTTGTCTGCGGCGGTTCCGGTTTGCTCGAGGGCTCTCTCTTGACAGCCATGTGCATTATGCCCTCGTTGGACCGCGAGTCGTCCTCCATTTTCGTATCGAACGAGCTGACGCTGCCAGCACTACTTCCGGCCCCGCTKCTGTTCCGGGTTACGTGCTCCATCATTATTCCGGGTGGCAAGTCACAGTTCTGACAACTCTTCTTATCGTCCATCTGTTTGTCGCCACCGCCACCTGACGACTTGCCGTGTTTGCCGGTGGTCGTGCCCGAACTCTGCGAGTCTTTGTCGTCACCGTCCTCGCCCTGTTTGTTGATGGTCTGCCGCTTGTGCTTCATCCGTCTGTTTTGAAACCATACTTTGACCTGAAACACGTATATTTTACCAAATACAATSTCACGTTTTCATTTTTTCCCCTCCAAGCTATAATATTATAATATATTATGATAATCGGAATAGAAAAGACACACATTCATATTATATTATTGTCATCATATTATTATTATATTGTTCCTATTGTTGTTATCAACGTGCGCGGCACTATATAATACGCATAGGTATAATATACATACAATAAACACACGTACGATATCTACTCACCRTGCAGCCCATGGGAGCATGACACGTTTTATTTTTTGTCCGTTTCGTGTCTGTCCAAATTACAATTTAATAGGACCACAAATCGCATATATATATATATATAATATATATTTACACAGACAGGTACACAGTGTATAAAGTATAATATTATACGCCTGCTATAGTGCTATGAGGCCGCAGCGTTTCACCCGAACACTATATGGCCATTTCCGTTGCGTTTGCACGACATACACGAGCCGTTTACAACAGCGTGTTTCGTTGACGTTCATGCGACACGGTCGGATAACTCAAAACGTGAAATGTTTCTAGTTTTCAAATCCACGTCAAAAGTCCGACAACAATCAGGTACAATCTCTCTCTTCCCCACCCACGTTGTCTACCCAATTTAAACGGTACCTTTATGGCTATATWATATGCGTCCATAACTGTATACAGCTCCAGTTAAATAAGAGAAACACGACTGTGTTCTTCGATGTTGGACAGACCGCATCGACCGCGAGTTGAATGMGTAAACAGCCGTTCAAGTCACTATACCTAACACGTGCGTGCAATTATTATTGTGCACTTTAATCGATTAGTATAATATCTCTGACTCTTCCAATATTGAAATATGATATAATGCGATTATTCGGTACCTTCAGTGYACTACACATATAATATATTACCTATACTSTATAGGAACTACGGTGTTTCGATTGGCGAGCCACTCGTAACACAAATTATAAAATGTTTTCGAAACATTCGGAAAGTAAATTATATTTGATTTTTGTGTAATGTTTTAATAACGCTGACAATGAACGTAATATTGTATCTTAATGGCGTAAATATTTCAAAACTGCCTGAAGTCATACCAGAATTGTTTTCCCTTGAGAACTGCCTTCTTATAATGTACTGCTGTACGAAACCATGTCATTTTTTTTTTTTTTTTTGGAAAATATTATTATCATCTTGTTCAAGGTCCGAGTTCATTGAAATACAACTGCATTATACATTAAACGCAGTAATCGCTGGGAAACCGATTTTTATAACTCTGAAGAGCAGAACATAATAACAACAGTAGTTATATATGTTCCGGTACGATTTTACAATACGAACACACTACACTGGCCAAGACCTGTAATTTAATGTCATTTAATTTTTTCTGATGAACACAACCCGAAACTACGTTTTTTTCTATTGCGATTATACAACACGAAATCCGAATAATAATTATTTACCAGATAAAAATATTATCCCTCGACATTTTTTGATCGTAATAATTATTATCGTTGGTAAATATCTTATATAATTTGATTTAAATCATAACACACCTTTTTTTTGTCAATTATTTTCAGATATTATTTCGAGTCTACTATGACAACATAATTACAATTTATAACTATGATTAGTAACTAATGCAGTGACATATTATATTATGTTCTGTATACCTGTCTCTCAGTGAGGTCCAGAGATGCGGCGATTTCTATTCTCCTGGGCCGACACAGATACTTGCTGAAATGGAATTCCTTCTCGAGTTCCAGGAGTTGAGTATTGGTATACGCGGTCCGAAGTCTCCTGGGTAAACCGTTTTCTGAAACAAACAGACGAAACGAAAAACATGAACGATTGCCTGAATATGAAATACGGGTCATGGAAAAATAAAAATCCATGTCAACCTCGAAGTTATTAATTATAATATGACACCCTATTGGCGGCGCAGTATATTTTTCGCCTTCGCATCTGACAAATGACATTATTAATATTATAAGAATATGAAAACACGAGAYGAGAAAAAAAGAAACATATTGGCCTGAGCGTCCCTAATGACCGGCTGCGGCGGCGGCGTAAGAGATAAATTTTGACCCGATGACGAGGCATCCGAAACGGACGAGGGAAGGCCGACCGCATTTGTTTCCATCAAACAAACAACGCGCTCGTAAAACGTGTTTGTTTTTCTTTTTAAAAGAAAGAGCGTAGCTCACCGACAGCTATAGAGTACGTTTTTAAAACACGTCATTTCCGTTTCGAGATGTGTACATCACAGCGTTTTCGTCGATTTCGTGACGAAATGATATCGAGAAAGACGTTAAGTGATAATATCAGAAATATATATATAAAATAATAACCTCTAAGGTGTTATTGATTATTTCGAAAATCCGAAAACAAACTTACTGCAAAATAGTCCCGGAAAAATAAATCGGCGATAGGTTTATGACATACTAATATATATATATAGGTTATCGCTCATGAAAGACATGCACTAAGTAATTTTTTAATATTACTTTTATATTTTGCATTCATTTTCGTATTAGGTTTGTGATGCAAAGAGTGGAGTCTATATCACCATCATACAGATATAACATATTTTTATTTGTAGAAAAACACTCGGTGTAAATGTAAAACCGTGGTATTGCTATTCGATAAAATGTTCAATTTTTCACCGAATCCGGCGACAACCGAAACGGGATCTTTCCGAGTGATTTGTAAAGTGCACGCRGGAGACATCATCAACATTCAGCGAATAGCGGAAATACTTGTGGCGGTACCCCGACCGTTTGCGGGCGACGAGAAACAGATCGAACCCGCGGGATATTTTAATAATGAGAATTCGAATCGCGCATACACGACGCCTGCACTGTTCGCCGRGATAGAGAGGTATACGCGTGTGGAGTGTATATGCGTGTGCGCGTGTGTGTGTTTCATCTGAATGTCATATACATCATAGGAATAAACAAGGTATATGCGGTCTGCTAGGGCGGAATTTGATTTTCGGAAGTCACTTTTCTCATCTACCCGTCAACCGCCGCCATCGGTATTACACTGCAGTGAGTATTGCGAGACGACGACGGTAGATGACAGAATATAAGATATAGAGAGACGGTCGTGGCGGTGGTGGAATCGAAGGCGCGGGCTGCAAACGAAATATTATATTATTATATAGGAACGCAAACATCTCCGGACGGGACGAGGGTTGTCGAGACGATGAGGAGAAGAGCTGGAAAGTGCGTGTGCTGCTGCAGCGCTCGTACTCGTTTATATAATATAACGGTCGACTGCGACGAGAAATCGACTGGAGGGTGGTGGGCGRCCGTCGTTCATCAGTCATCGTCAAATCTCATATATACGATATGATATGATATGATATGATATATATTATTATATACGCGGCCATGTGTCGCCAGGTAAAATTTAATATCGCCCGACCGAGAGTTTGACTGGATGACAATAAGCGGGCGAGGGCCGTCGTCGCTGCTCCGACTTAAACTGCGTACATGTATATATATATAATGTGTGTGTGTGTGTATGACATTACTGTTGTTGTTGTTGTTGTTATTATTATGTATATATGTTGTATATACGAGTGCACGAATATCTTTTACTTGAGCGCGAGTGGGGTTATTGCTGACATCATTTGTTGGGGTTCCGTTTCGGGTTTCGTCCGTCAGTCTCCCGATGAATACGTAGCCCGGTGTATACACACACATATATAATATCTATATAGGTACGGCCGACGAGGTTACGACGGCCCGGTTATTGTGGTTGTTCGTCCGTGGTGAGTGCGGGTCGGGGGTGGTTGAGCATTTTTGTTTCTGTCTCGCGAACAAACATTTTTTTTTCTCTTATTCTTTTCGCTTTTCCAATATAAAACATCCGAAAGTCATCCCGCACCCCTTTCCACGCTCGCCCGTACCCTCCCTCCTGTCCACCGACAACCCCCGACACCACATAAAGTTAAGAAAAGTTACGTTATTCCTTTTTTTGTTTTTTTCCATACGAAACGCTCCCCTTTTACCCCGCCGACCCTTTTTACGCGTTGTGTTTTTTTTTTTTACAGACCGGTAAAAGAATTTTTGATTAATGATATTACATTGATTTTTCGTTGTGCTCATTCCCCCTCTTGTGTACGGTTTTTACTTACTTATTATTATTATTATTTTTTTTTTTAAGTTTTTGTTTTGCATATTTCTTTTGGTTTTCCCTATGGGCGCGCGCGCATCATAACCTTAAGAATTTATGCGTTTGACATGACTGCAGTATATATACCTATTCTCCAACCCATATACTTACATAATATATATATATATATATAAATATACAAATAACCCGAACAAACAAATGACTTTCTTTCCTGTTCGTATTTTAATCATTCATTATATAATATTATACAGTCATACAAACCAATGTTTATATTAATCGTACTATATTTTTGTGTACCKTGGATTATTCTGTTGAGGAGGTGGTAGAGGAGAYATGCTGAAAATCGAGATACTTCCATATCCATATTCACTCATTCATTACTCGATTCGCACACACTATGGTACATATTATATAGTGATAATGACTAGGGCGTAAGTCAATACTCAACGCATAACATATTATACAGAGTGTATCAAAAATATTTGAAATTAGATTAAAATGGATCAGTAAGAATACTATATTATACAAGTACAATATAACTGGCACGAAGTAGTAAGCAGTTCATCCATATAATAATATTTACGATGAGTGATTTATCAAAATATCCGCATACGTATACACATAGCCAATACACAGACTTCGGTAAACTTTTGACGTTTTCAATGAGATACCGTTTATGCTTGTCACGAGCCTCAGCATCGGTCGATTCACGTTAGGGGTGGGCTCGCAAATACACCCGCATGGTATATAGGTCGTAATAATAATACGAGACCGTGTGAGCTGGGTAATAATAATAATATACGATATTCCCAGGTTTTTCTTCGGAAATTCGTAAKCTCGCGAGCAACTTGTCAKTCCGTGTTTATGGATCGGCAATGGACATAATACTATATAATATAATATTTAGGTATATGATGTGAGGTGCCGCAGTGCGAGTGTGTATAATATATACGAGGGCTACAGAGGGAAAACTCGGCGGCAAAGTGACGTATAAAGTAGTTGTATATACAATGGGGGACGGATGCGAGGTAAGTATAAAATTGCATACGGCGGATGAGTAGAGAGGGATTCCGGCAACGACGACGTTGACAAAAGGCTCTATACCACACTATAGTGTTAATAATATTATAATCTCTCTCATTCAAACGAAATCACCGCGAGTTTGTTATGCCGCGTAACACACACTCCGGCCTGGATGCACCCCGTCAACGGCTTTATAGGTAATTTTACACATAATATTATAATAATAATATGTGTAATGTGGTGTATACATCGTGTGTTATGTGTATATTTTATGAGACGTCATTAACCGTGGCAAAAATACATACCTAATATGTTTTTGYGTGTGTGTGAGTTTCTGTGTATGTGTACACTGTGCAGTGTCGTTTTGTATAATCGTGAAAACACGCTCTTTATTATATAAGTTACTCGTCCGATTAAATATATAATCGAATATATTATGTGCTGCACATTTAATATAATATAGGTAAAGAGACAATACAGAGATAAATTACAGAGCTTTAAATACAATGTTCCGTGTTTTTTTTCTTTTGTGTTAAAACTAAAAATAACCTACCCATCAGCATAAAATAATATGTTACTATAAAACCATAGAATTAACAAATGTTGAAAGTATAGGAATTTCACTTAGTATATAACTGTTCAAYAAAGCTTAAATTTACTATAGTTATTCGCACCATCATTATAGAWATATACTTGTATATTTWAAAAAMCGTGGATTTCTTATGACAGTTTTTTAGGTACCGACCAACTACATTTTTAATCGACGTAGATAAAACTATGATGAGTCTTGTATAACATYATATTTTTTTACTTTGAAGTTTGAAGTATATTATGTAATTTTATATTTTTTTAAATTTCTGTCTGTTTAAAATGTCACATTATTTTAACACTAAGATATTTATATTTATAATCAAGCATCTACTGTTATCATCCTCACTTTCTGCCACCATTTTATGGTTTATTGTTGATCGATTGGAAGTTGGAATATAGCAATTAATAGCAGTATCTTTTGCACGCTCATTATAATTATGTTTTATAYCAAAAAACACGTCAAATACGAGTTTGATTTTAATGCGTATATCTATTTCATTGTATGGAGACCTGCAGGTATTAGTGTCTTAGTGAAGGAGGAAAATGTTGAGCATGACGGTTGGTAGTGCGCTATTATAAATGACAAATCGGTATTGATAATTTAACAATTATGTTTTTGAGTAGATAATGATATTATTGAACCGGATATCTTAAATGCTCGAGTGTGCGTCGTAAATACGCTTCTACGCGCATTGATTTTTACCAATCAATTGCCTCAAAAAGTTTAAGTKGGATCATTCATATGTCTCAATAACCACTAATAAAATGGATTATCGATGGAGTAGCTTTGCAGATTCTTCCCCCTAAATTATAACGTATATCCATACCGTTATGTTCCACTTGTTATATTAATAATAATAATTTATTATCAGCTATCCTCGTATCTTTTGTATTCGGCGTATATTATACAATATGATATATTGATATGGTATTATAGTGTGATGACGATCGATCGACTTTATCAACGATGAAGAATTAAATGTARTTTGGTGTTAAATGTATATGGTTATTACTTATTCATAYAACATAAAATTATCGACAAGTTTAGTGTATATTTAC